CTGTGTGGAGGCTGATCCTGGGCCTGCCCCTCCATTTGTACCTGCTTTGAGGTTCACCCCTCCTGTTAATTTTTTAAAATATATTTTTATTGACTTCAGAGAGGAAGGGAGAGGGAGAGAGAATCATGAACCAGCTGCCTCCTGCACCCCTCACACTGGAGATCGAGCCCATAACCTGGGCATGTGCCCTTGACCGGAATCGAACCCGAAACTTTCAGTCCACAGGCCAACGCTCTATCTACTGAGCCACACCGGCCAGGGCTGCCCCCTCCTGTTCTTCATGCCAACACCCTGTTGAGGCATAACTGATGTGCATTGCAGTGCACCGACCGCGCAGCTGCTGAGTCCAGCACTGCAGAGGTGTGTGCACCCGCCGGGGCAGGGCACGCCTCCAGCCTCCCGAGGGGACTCCGTGACCCTCCAGGTCAGTGCCCTGCACCCCAGGCATCACTTCCTCCATCTCAAATTCGAGCTGCATCCTCTCACTTCCCACTTGAGGACCTTCTATAGGGTTTCCGTCCCCTTCTCCTGCTGCTTTGGGTCCGCAGGTCTCTACCTGGAGTTCCCAGTCCTCTCTCTCTGTGGGTCCCGCCTGCTGGACCACTGGGCCTGCAGCGACCCGAACCCGTCTCTGTCGGGCTCCATGGGGGGCTTGGCTCCCTGTGTCCTTGTACAACTGCCCTTGCCGTGGCTTCCCCACAGCACGCCCCGCCTTGCAGGCTCCGCTCAAGTCCCACTTCCTCCAGGAAGTCCTCCCTCTTTGCCAAAAGGTTTTCCAATGTCTCCACCTCCCTCCACACCCTGAACGAGCTGTCACCGTGTGACTGGGTGTCTGCAAAGTGCTGGTGCCTGGAGGCCCCGCCGGGATGCCGCTCGGGCTGCAAACCACTTCTCCCCTCGCTCTCGCACCTCTCCCAACCCAGACCCCGCTCCTGGCTCTTCACTACCCAGCTCAGCCCCATCCTCTCCCAGACCGCAGGGCCCACCAACTGTTCTTCAGATGTGACATCAAGAACTTTTGTCTGGCCGGCGTGGCTCAGTGGTAGAGCGTCAACCTATGAACCAGGAGGTCACAGTTCAATTCCCAGTCAGGGCTCGATCCCTGGTAGGGGGCGTGCAGGCGGCAGCCGGTCCATGATTCTCTCTCATCACTGATGTTTCTATCTCTCCCTCTTCCTTCCTCTCTGAAATCAATAAAAATATATTTTTAAAAAAATCCCTGCGACTAGGCTCCCAGGCTGGGTGCAAGCAGCCCCCATGCAGAAAAGCTTCCTCCCCCCGCCCCCCACTGTGTTGCTGGTCAGGCCTCCCTCTGCCCCGGGTCCCCATGCAGCAGCGATTCCCAGCGTCCCCTGGGCCCCACACCAGCCTCTGGGGTCTGAACTCGGGGCAGCTCGGCCCTCAGGCTCCCCCTCTTCCCCTCCCTCCGCCCTTCTTCCCCTCCTGGACCACATGGCGTTTGTTTCCCAACTGGACACTCCGCTAAGTGGTGCAGGAAGTAGGCCCCCGGGGAGAGAGACAGCCAGCGGAGCTGATAACCGGTGACGCTCGGGCGCCTTGGGGCCGGGGCAGGTCAGATAAGCGGAAATGCCAGGCTTATCGGCCGCCTGAGTTCTGGAGAGGTGTCCCTGCCGGCCAGCCCACCACACTCCCCCACTCCCCGCGGGCGGGTGGCCGGGCATCTCCCAGGGAGTAAACACGGAGTTGGCAGAGCCCCGCCGCCCGGCAGGATGAGGACTCTGTGCCCGT